ATCCATTCATCCATCAATCATCCATTAATCCATCCATCGATCCATCCATCAATCCATCCCTCATCCATCAATCCATCCATCCATCATTTTTACCCGCGTCTTCCTTTTTGGGTTGTTGGGGGTCACTGGTGCCCATGTCCAACTATCCACTGGACCCCTGGACCGGGATTTGTTCCGTCGACCTTTTCGCTGAGAGGCAACAGCTCTGCCTACTGAGCCACCCATGTTGAGGACTTAGTGACCAAAATGTGGAATTAGTTAACAAGGAATTGGTTTAAGTGTTGAATGCATGTTACAGACTGTTAGCTGCAGAAACATGTTGTTCAATTTACAGCTGAAGTGAAAAACAGGGAGGTGATGAGTTTTAGCACAAATAAACTAAAAACTAACTAAAGGAGTTCCATGAATTATGAACTCATGACTTGGCTGAAATTTGCTGTAGACTCCAAAACTGAACTGTTAAAGCTAAAGGTTGTAAAATAAAAGCTAAATATGGCAAAACAGTAGCTAAAACTAGCAAAATTGTAGCGTAACAAAGCAAAAGGCTATCTTAAAAATTGGTAGCTATAATTAGCAAAAACAGTAGCTAGAAGTGCACAGAAGTACCACTCCCCTGTGGTTTTGTAGCACATGGGAGTGGTGGTGCAGAGGTTAGAGAAGGTGATCAGAAGGTCGCCGGTTCAAATCCCTGGGAAAGGTGAAACACCCACACCTGCCTCCACCTCATTTGTCCCACTCTGGGCCCTTGAGCAAGACCCTTACACCCCACCATCTGCTCCCCCAGATACCCAAGATGGCAGCTCTCTGCTCCACACAGAGGGATGTGGTAGCTCGGTGGTCTGTGGTTGCATCAGGAAGAACATCCGGCGTAAAAACAAACGTCAAGTCTTCGTGCGAGTTAGTTTGCTGCGGCGACCCCTGAAGAAGGAAGCAGCCAAAGGAAAAAAAAAGTTTAGGTAAAAGTATCAAAAGCCTGGCTTAAAATAGCAAAAAGCTAGTCTAAAGTAGCAAAAGGCTAGCTAAAAGCTACAAGTCCCAAATCATTAAGTAAAAGTAACAAAAAGTCACTCGAAGCTAAAAGTAGCAAATCAGTAATAAAAAGTTAAAAGTATCAAAAGGCAAGCTAAAAGCTACAGAAGAATAGCTAAAAGTAGCAAAAGTCTAGCTAAAGTGAATAAAAAAGGATAGCTAGAAGCTTTTTTCAGGTCTTAGTTTTATTATACTTGTTCCTTGTTTTTCTTTCAAAGTCTGGTGACCCTGTTTGAATCAACTTCTCATTTTCGGTGGCCCGTTTGATCAGCAGACCAAGTTTCTGGTTTCATCACCACCTGAACAAGATCTGACACGGCTCTGGGCTCCGTCTCCTTCCTGTAAGGTTTCCTTAAGGAGTGTCTGTCTGCCCTGAAAGAGGAGTCGCCCTCTGAGTCACCGACCTGACATGGGAAAAACATCAAGTGCCTGCAGAGGCCTGATGCAAACCTGCAGGAAAGACTCTTGGAAGGAACTCAAAACTGAACTTGTGGGAGTTTGATCATTTTCTCAAGCCGTGACCATTTCCTTTACACATTTATTCCCTTTGACCATAAAAATCTATGGCATTTGGATTTCTAAACCTTTACTGCTCGGTCCAAGAAACTCAGGCAGATTAAAGTGCATTTTAAAGGCAACACCTCAGAAAATAACCAAGTTGTATTTTGGGTAACGATGACCTCATAGAGCAGATGATGTAAAATACCAAAATAAAACCTCATTATTTCCGCTGTGATGCTGAAACTTTTGCAGCTTCGAAGAGGAAAACCGAAGATGGGGATGTAATCTTACTTCCTGTTACTGAAGATAATAAGAGACAATTGATTTGCTGTCTGTTTTATTCCCAGATTGTTATGATGGGCAGATAACAAGAGGAGGAAGAGAAGATGTCGTTCTTCAGTCTGGATTGTGTCACAAAGACAGAGAGAGGTAAACTCTGAGCAGACTCTGTTTTCTCATCAGCTGAAGTCAATCACGGGTTATTTATAAAGTTGTTAAATTCATATTTAATATTCTCCTCTATATGTTTGAGACAAATTAATCCATCCTCAGAGGAGAGAGAACATCAGATAAATGGATGTTGTGAAAATGATTGGAATCAAAAGTTGCACAAAAATGACTAAATGATTTTTACAAGAAATTTCCTAAACTGTACTGCTAAAACAACTTTAGACCATTCCAAAGTAACTCTACCAGTTTGTTTACTAGACTGGACAAAATCAAAAGGAAAACTAGTGTTAATAAGATGTATTCATGTAAAACTGTATCCGCTCCTCCAAATCCTGTTTAATTTGTATTTTTAACCGTGTAAATCAACCATTTATTTTGAATCAGGTAAATATTTGTGCTAAATATGCTGAAACTGTTTCAACAAAATGTTTGTTGCTGGTTTTTTAAACTGAAAGAATAACCACTAATCCACCATGCTGCCTACATTATAGTTGTGTTTTCAGTTGATAGACAATATATTCACTGCTGGGATGAAGAGTGATTTTATTTTAAAGACACCTAACAGGTTAAAGATTTCAACTGATTCAGCCAAAGTAATATATATATATATATATTTATATATATATTGTCATCTTCTTAAATTCAGAGTTGGAGAGGAAACTGCGAGCCAACGACCGCGAGTACAACCGCTCCTTCAGATATGCAGTAAGTATTCTGATGTACGAGTTGTTCCTCAGCCAGATGTTTTAATGTCTTAATCTGTTTGGGGTTTTTTTAATAGAAGAGGGGATGTACAGTCAAGACAAGACATATCCATACACTGATTTTTTTTTTTAAATTTTCATTTATGCTCGTAGAAAACTGTCCTCTGCGGTTGAGTCGTTTGTGTCTGGTTGTTATCAGGAGACTGGATGTCCGCCAGTTAAAAACAGAGACAAACATCTGCTGAATGAATCCCGTAGTTTCTGATCTGTGTTGCTGCCGTCATAGAATAAACCTCAGCGGTTTAATGTTTCCAAGTGAAGCAAAACATCTACTTGTGTTTATAAAAGTCACCGTCTAGCATCGCTGTACGTACAGAAGCTAATGCTGTTCAGGAATTGATCAAATGTTCCCAATATACTAAAAAATAATCAAAGAATCCATACCGTTTTAAAGAAATTGATCATTATTGCAATTTGAATTAACCAATTATTAATTACTAATAATGTATTCTGTGATTATGAACACAGTTGGTGCTTTAAAGGAAACAAACAGTCAATTAGGGATAAATAAAACTGACACGGCTGAACTAATAAACTTTTAGAAAACGTGTAAATGTTTAGAAATGTGCCCCCTTCAGACCTCAGTCTTAAAACTGAGGCCTCAACCCAAAGAGGAGGGTTAAATTATAATGTGTGTTTTTAGAAAAAAATTAACACTGAAAGGAATTTTAACCCCAAAAATTACCTTAAATGGTAGAAAATGTGGAAAATGAATAAATGATAATAAGAAAGTTTATAACATAGCTAAACATTTCAGTCAATTATTATTATTATCATTAATATTAATATTATTGTATTTCTCACACAGCTCTATGTTTGTGTAAAAACTCATTTTCCTGCTTATGTACTGGTATTTATGTGTTTTTTTTTGCTATTTATTTATTATTTATTTGCTATTTTTTGCTAATATTTTTGCTTCGTTATTTATAAAGGTTTTTTTTTTCTAATGTGTGTACAAAAGAATGAGTGAAGGATGAAAAATAATCTAGATCAGTGGGGTCCAAACTTGTTCATATGCAAGCCAATTTTTTTCAAAATAAAAGTACTCAGACCACAAAAATTTGAATTGAAGATTAAAAAAAAAAAAAGTAAAATATGTATATATCCCACTATACTGTATCAATCTTAAATTGCAGTCATGGGCTGCACAAAATTACTCCAGAGTGCTGAAAATGGTCTGCGGCCTGTACTTTGGACACCACCGCTCTAGAAACTTTGTGCAGATTATGATTAATTCATACTTTGATGCAGAGTTCTGTTTAATCTTTCTGTCTCTCTCTCGTCTTGTCATTTTTCCAGACGAATGCCATCAAAACCTCAAAGTACAACGTCTTCACCTTTCTGCCTCTCAACCTGTTCGAACAATTTCAGAGGATCGCCAACGCCTACTTCCTCGTTCTGCTGGTGCTTCAGGTGAGACGCAAACAAACGTGCACACGCGACTCGACCGAGCGACAGAAAACAAACCGAAAGATCGATTCAAGTGAAAGTGTTACAATCGTTTTAGAAAACAAACCGTATTCAGTATTTGAGTCGTAGTCATCTCTTCGTGAGCTTAATCTTATAACAGAGGCTATGGAAGAAAAGTAAAGGCACACAAACGATGATGAGTGACTTCACAGAGCTCAGTCAGAGCAAACACGTGATATAACGCAACACAACACGGCTCAGATTGTTGTTCTCTGAACAAGACGTGTTAGCGGAGCGACCACAGTGGTTCCAAAATCAGAACATTCAACCAAAGAAAAAGTGGCCCATTCAACAACAGGTGAGCTACTTCGGGCACCAAGGTGGCTCAGTGGTTTTCACTGTGGCCTCACAGTGAGCAGGTCGTGGGTTCAAGCCACACTGACACACTTCCAACCTGAATTTACACCAAATACAATTAGAGAGTTAAATATTTTAAAAGGCAAACTCGCAGAGAGAGACGATGATCTCATCTTTTGCAGAAACCATAAACAGTTTATCACTCGTCGTCACTGAATTAAAGCTACGCTCAAATTTGACCCCTGATAGATTTTACTCTGTTTCTGTTTAGTGTGAGAAATTACTTTTTTTCCCTTCATTGAAACGTCTCGCACACATTTCTGACATTCAGGCTCAAACAGCACGTCTGAGAGGCTCTGCGCTAACCAAACAGGAAAAGGAAGACTCAAGTGCACAGAAAATTGAGGAAGTGTCAGATCCAGTACAGGAAATTGCCTCATCGAGTGCAAAACGGTCATTTTGCACAACAGAGGTCGTCAAGAAGGGCTGAGCTGCTGTCAGTTCATGAATGACAAGAATAACATAAAGTTCTTCCAAGAGCAAGTTGTAATTTAACCAACACAATAAGCACATTGATTTTAAACACTTTTCTGTGTTTGTGTGGCGATACACCCACAGCTCCTACCTTCTGTTCAAAGCATACACAACACATGAATATGCAGTGGTGTAGACTACACGATACGCGGGTATTACGGAGTATACCCACTAGAAAAACTTAAGAATTTCAGTATCCCCTCTTAAAAGTGCCCAACGATACATATCATTAGACGTGTGTCACTGATATGTTAAACAGCAGTTAAATGCTTCCATAACAGTCTTATCAGTATGCAGCACTTGTTTATTACATTCACTTATCCAGCAAATTATTGTATAATTAATACTTCTGTACTTACTGCTTAATACTTGAACATGTTTGGCTTTGATGCTGTTTTATAAATTATATAGCATGTTTGAATACAAAGCCAACTGTTGTACAAAGTTTGTTGTTCATTTATTCAAATATAAGCACCAGAGAAATTGGGGAATGTTCAGTATACTTAAAAATCAAAATAAATGTATGTACTTTGGTTTCTAAGTACAGTATATGGACCGACCGTGGTAAAGTTAGTTTTACGTTGGACGTTGGACATTTGCACTCCGTGGCTTCAGCGGTGTCCAACTAAAAAAATGTAGACTACACCACTGTGAATATGGGTCTCTATTTTGGCACCAGATTATTCATTTCTTTGTTTGACTCATGTAATATTGATTTTCCAAGTTTTCATCAGCAGTATCTTATAGTTTCCGTGTATTTAAATTTTGTTCAGGTGATCCCTCAGATCTCCTCCCTGTCCTGGTTCACCACCGTCGTGCCTCTCATCTTCGTTCTGACGGTCACCGCTGCCAAGGATGCCACTGACGACCTCGTAAGACGCATCGAAAATACATTCACTTTGTTCTAATCTCGACTCATGAGAAACCCACATTCCCTCTGTGTCAGAAATTGTCTTTACTTCTACTTTAATACATGCAGTTTTTAGATTTAAAGATCCAACACGCGTTTAAATTTCATGAGAACTAGTCTTCCCTGATTGGTCAGTTGTTTGAGATTAAGTTGTTCGTGTCAGTCAGCTGCTCCCACACTGATGTTGGGCTCAATATCTATTTCAATTCAGTTCAGTTTCTTTATAAAGCGCCATGTCACAACAGAAGTCCTCTCAGGGCACTGAACAGAAACATTCATATACATACAAAGTAAGTTAACACTATTTTTCCGATTAAAGGTTATGCTTCTTAAGTAAAGGTTTAATTACAGCAATCTTAAAAGGCAGTGGTACGTAACTGTTTATTAGAGACAAATAAGCAGATCCAAGACGTGGTTATTAATTAAAGGAAATATCTCTTTAAACAGTTTGGTTGGGATGGGATCTAGCAGACATGTGGATGGTTTGGATGAAGCTAGTATTTTTGACCATTCAGAGCTCAAGAGGACAAAAATAAACCAAACATAAATCAGGTTCTAGTGACATTTTTAAAGTTGTCTCATCTGACACAGAACCAGAGGCAATAGTAGGAAAGTTGGTTTGAATTTTTACATTACATTCAGTGATTACTGATTTCTAAATCTTTCATAACTATCTCTCCAGTAGTCATGAGATATATTGTCAGTAATGACTTGGGACAATAAGAATCTAATTCATATCCTGTCTGTGGGGGGTGTAAACTGACTCTGATCACATGTTTCACAAATTCTTCACTTCATCGGTTGTTTGTGTCAGGGTCATCTACTTATGACCCAGCTTGTCATCATTTTCTAGCAACTCTGAGTAAAAAGTTCTCCCCACATCTGGTTAGTCATGAGAGAAAACGATGATGATAAGAAGAAGATGAAAAGGAAGAAGAAGACGGAGAAAACAACTCTGACAAAAAATGAACCCAGTGACCAAGAAAACAAGGAAGAAGAACTTTTTATGTGATGGGGAATTTTTTTTTTTTTCATCAGATGACTGTACAAGAAACAGAAAAAAAGACCAGAAAGTGAGTGAGAGAGTGAATGGTTGTTAGTCTCCATTGGCGCTTTACCGCTGTCTCAAATCTCCTCGGCTTCGCACGACACCAGTTAAGGGCAAGCCCACTGCTGGTACCCGCCCCCACTCAGTATGGTTTATGGGACCATCTTGTTTGAGGTTCCAAGCAAACTGCTCCGAGGGGTCGATTGTGACGTAAGCAGACAGCAGCTGTTGATTGGCCATCAGAGCTACGTCACTGGATGACCCGCCCAACAAAACTGGAACTACATCTGAACTTTCACTTCCTCATCGTGTTGACGGACGGCGCCACAAGAAACGAGCACATTTACAGAGATGCTGGAGATGATGGCGCTGACCTGTTACATACCACCCACTTTGCACTGACGATCCCACAGAGCGGGGAAACGTGGCAGTGGCAAATCACCTCCACCTGAGAAGAACTGATAAGACGAGAGCCCAGTGGAGTCGCACTTACCAATGGCAAAATGGCTGATGTGTCCCTGTGATGGACTGGAGACCTGTCCAGGGTGTCCCCCACCTCTCGCACAGTGACTGCTGGAAATGGGCATCAATTCATTCAACCTCTATTTAGACAGGTAAATCCCATTGAGCCTCGAGGACTCATTTACAAGAGAGACCTGATAACATTATACATAATAACATAATATAACATAATCAGTGATCCCACAACCCAAAAAGGAAGAAGCGGGTAAAGACAAAGGATGGATAGAAGAGTAAACACACAATCTAATCCAATAAGTGAAGCAGAAACAAAAAAAAAAGTATTTCACATACAAACAAACATGTTTTTGTTCATGAATAACCAATATAATATTTACATTATTTAAGATTTTTCTTAAAAAGTATGATTGCACACGGGATGAAGGTCTTCCTGAAAGCATTTTCCTCAAATATATTTTTAACTTTTATTAAGTAGATGTAATCATCCAACTTGCTGCTTGTTAAAACACGATGGCTTAGCGGTTCGTACTGTTGTCTCATGGCAAGAAGGTCCAGGGTTCAGTCCCTGGTTTGGACCTGGGGTCTTTCTGAGTGGAGTTTGGTGGGTTTTCTCTGGGTACTGCGGTTTCCTCCTGTATTACAACAACATGCACGCCTTCAGGCTTCCCTTGCAAAACAGATCTGGGATCTGGGATTTGCCTCGTTAAATAAAAGTAAATATACAACAAATCAGTCATACATATTTTATACGAAAGCAGAGTTTAATATCTCATCATAAGCATCATTAACTCTGTGGGAAAACATTCTTCTCTTTTCAGCCACACTTCCTTTCCTTTTAGAGCAATTTGCTTGTTTTTTATTTCACATGTTGAACTCTAAAGATGCTCGTTACCATTTTATCGGCTACATTTTGTCCTTTTCTTGCTTTCGTTTATGTTGGTTTAAGAAGTTAATAAAAAAATAAAAAAAAAGGAAATTTGTCGTGGGATTTGTTGGTTTCCTGCAGCTTCGTTTTAGTTCTCCTTTACGTCTTAAATTATGTCATTTGGACATTTTGTCTGATTAAGAAATAAGTTCCCCTCCTTTACCACAACTGACCTAAACCGGAGTTCATCAGGAAGTTAACGTCTTTTAAATTTGACTAAACAGAACAAAATGTTCCTTTAACACAGTGCTGGGAAAATTCATTTTAAAAATGTGTGAATGTGGAGCGTTTAAAACCAAACTGTTAGGAGAAAATAAAGGATGAAGATTTGCTCAAAGAGGAGAAATGAGAATCGTCTTTTTGAGCGAACCTGAACGTTCATCCTCAGCTGCTTCGTGAGTGAACTCGTGATTTGTTGTTCGGGCACACAAACACTCAGGATGCTCCAGACTGACCATGCAGGAGATGACGGCGTAGCTGTGGCTCGGGTCGGGAAACTTTCACATCTCGCTGAGCTGCAGAAATTCACCGGCCTCTCAGAGGGAATGCCCCGAGTGCAAGCTCCTCAGAGTTTAGTTTCGTTTTTGTTTTTTACAATAAAGTTTTGCAGATTTTCTTGTTTTAATTTGGACCAAATTTTAGAAAACGTCACATTGAAGGCATGCAGGCTACAAATGGTCCTTGTTGGAGTTTTGTCTGTCCTGCAAAAAATGTGACAGATCGAGTTTCTGTTGAAAAAAAAAAACAATCTAAATTGTTCAAAATGTGACTTTAAGGATTCAGAGATCAGCGTGTTGGATAAAGACACCAGGAGATTATTTTAGAACACGAAATGTGAAACTTAAAGGAACAAATACAAAATCTCTGTCTTTTTTTAATATGTGAAATGAAACTAAAAAATACAGACCGGCTTCTAGGACTCGACAGCATGTGGGATCGACCTCGAGGAGGCTCATAACACGGATCAGTGGAGTGGAATACCCATAAATTTGGCCACTTTGGACCAAGAAAGTTCCAGCAGGACTCGAGGCTGACAAGAAAAACACAGACTGCCTGAAGAAAATCAACAATTGTCACTTATCTGAATCTGACTCCCCCGTTCGGCCTCGGATACGAGCGGACTATCAAATTTCTCCTGGGACATGGGTAACTACAAAAGCTTTATCTATCGTACCCCCCCAGAACTTCTGTGCAGGATCATCAGAACTGTGCCCGCTGACCAACGTCTTATCAGGACCATGGCCTGTTGTCTGAAGGTGCTTCTTGGACAAATCTCAACGTCTTGAAAATAAAATACACATGTAATGTGTTTATAAATGTGCTTGCTGGTAGAGTTTTTTTTAAATTTATTTTAATGTCTTAAATCGTGTCCTGATAGGCCTTTTCCCCTTTTCTATCTAAAAGTATTCTAATAAAGAATATGGGGCTGCGCTTTGATAGCAGCAGCAACGTGCACTCCGCCCATCTTTCGGACGACTGTTCGAACATAATTCCATTGTTTCCCGGTAAAATGATGATACTCTAGAGATACTCTAGAGATACTCTACTTCCTCAGACGGCTGAGGCGAGCTGGTCTGGGAAGCTCAGTCCTCACCTCCTTCTACAGGTGTGCAGTGGAGAGCATCCTGTGCTCGAGCATCAATGTGTGGCATGGAGGCTGCACAGCTGCAGAAAGAAAAGCTTTGCAGAGAGTGGTGAAGGCTGCACAGAAATCTGTTGGAATCAGCCTCCCCACCATCACAGACATCTACACCTCCAGATGCAGGAAGAGGGCCACCTGCATCATGAAGGACCCCACTCACCCAGCACACACACTTTTTGCCCCACTCCCCTCAGGAAGGAGGTTAAGGAGCATTAAGTGTAGAACCACTAGACTGAGGAACAGCTTCTACCCTGAGGCTGTTAGACTCATGAATCTCTAACTAGAATAATCACTGTGAAAAACCGTATCATGTTGCTGCTGATCTGTTTCATGTTGCTGCTGATCTGTTTCAATGTTGATGTGTTCATGCGTGCACATCTGCTCACAGACTCATGTTCATGTTTGTGCTGATGTTCAATGTTTTATGTTATGAGTGCTTAGTGTATATTTAGTTGATGTTTTTCTTAGTTCATATCTTAGATGTTATTACTGTTTTTCTTATACATTTTATTGTTGGATGTAACTGGGACCCTGCGTACATAATTTCGCTCCACCACATGTACCACATGAGGTGCGAATGACAATAAAGAAACTCTGACTCTGACTGATAAAACTTATTCTGATTCTGAAAATGAAAGCAACAAGGGCCGACCATAAACGCAGCAATGCTTCGTTTCCAGCCTCTCAGCTTCAAACTGTGTTTGAGCCTTGTCGTTCCGCCATGACGGCCTGAAAACGAGAAACATCCCATCAGAAATAATTCTCTCAGGAGGCGCCAACTTGTTTCAATCACAGAAATAAATAAATCCCACACAGGAGACAAACGAATAAAGCTCTCGTCTCGATTCAGTCGGCTGTGGTTTTAATACTTCCTCCTGTTTTATTTATACGAGCTGTGAAAAAGATAACTTTGTTCATCTGATGGAGATTCATGAGATGGAAATCTTTATTAAATATTAAAAAGAATAAAGAAGAAATAACAATCCCTGTAAAGTCTCCTGACTCACTGTTGTCTTCTTCTTTTTTGTTTCAGAATCGCCACAGGAGCGACAAACGAGTAAACAACCGAAAAGTTCAAGTGCTCATCGACAGGAAGTAAGTTTTTAAACTTTCCATCACCCCAAGTTTTCTTTATCTCCTGTGTTTGTTCAAAGTTCAGAGATGTTACATCCTTTTATTTTGTATAAACTGATCAGATTAGTTAAATGTGTTCAGTGACTGCTCAGACATAAAAAAAAATACACAAAAACCTGTTTTTGTCTCATGCTTTATGTATCCTTATATTAAAATATTCTGTAAACAAAATGTGTGACCATATGCCGCCTCGTGTTTGTTTACCTACAGAAACAACCAAAGTTAAAACTCTCTCATTTCTCAAGTTACGTAGGATTTGTTTACATTGAGTGCGTACCCACATTTGAGGACTACGAATCAATATATTTGGAAAACTACTCAATAAACTCGTTTACACTGCACAATTTCATAAATTTAGGATAATCTTTTTCATGTTTGACTTGGGGCTGGACGATACGGCCAAAACTTTTATCACGATATATTTTTTAATGTCGGTCGATAACGATATAATTCAGATATCGATATAAACAATATAAAAACCTCAGAAAAACTGTGCAAATAAATTAATGTTCACCTTTTATTTGTATTTAGCCTTCAAAGAAATTTGAAATCACCGTCAAATAAACATAAATCTCTCAACTTTGTCAATATTAATAGTTTTAACTTTAAACAACAAAATAACCTAAAGGTTTGCTGCATGGGTTTCTCTTTTGATACAGCTGGCGGGGTTGTTTCAGGGACATGTTGGCTCAGACTTTTATTGTGCTTCATCTTCTGACTCTCAGCTTCTTCTATCGAGTGGAACAACTTCGATGTGTTCCCACCGCTAGTTGGAACGACTCTCCGTCACATTTTGCAGCACGCTGACTGAAACCTGCAGTTTATCTGATCTTAGCCGAACCACTTCCACACCGCCAAATTAGTCTTTCCTCTCTTATCAATTATGTCATCTGCTTTTTCTTCACTTGTGAAAGCTTGTTCAGTCACATGCTGTCGGTCATGGGCGCTCATTTTGCAGCGAAAACTTACCGCGCGTTGGAGCTTAGCCTAGCCTGACTCCTTCGAGCTGTGGTGTACGTCACCACGCACTTACGTAGTTGTGTCGCGGCTTTTTCTGTTCAGGTTAAAACTGAACCGCTTCAACCTGAACAGAAAAAGAAATGCGTCAGTGAAACGCTGTAATCATAGCGTAACGTATATAGAAAATATCGAAAATATAATATACTTTTATTCAATAACGGTGATATGAGTTTTAATCATATCGTGATATATATCGATATCGAATTATTGTCCAGCCCCAGTTTGACTCCATGATTTGCAGTGAGGACCGTTAAACATTTCTTCTCTCAAGTGTTTTCTGAAAGTCTCCCGTCCTTTTGAAATCTTTAAGAAGAATCACGAATTATGCACTCAAATAAAAAAAAACTTGTTTTAGTTCTAATAAATAGTAGGGGTGTAAATCACCAGCTTTACCACGATACGATATTATATTGATTTGTTTGACGATACGATTTTTCTCGATATCACAAAGTCTGTCACGATACGATTTCGATTCTATTCGATTCACAAGTCTGCGAACGATATATCGCGATATCAAATGCCCATCTCGTTTACATATAAATACATTTACAAAAACAATTCAAATATGATTTAACCATTTTATTTCTGTTATTATAGGCAACAGGCATTTAAATTAATTTAAAAAAAACATTTTTTCTTAATTAATGAAAAAATAAAAATAAATGACCTGTTCAGTATAGTCTCACATTTCTCATGTTTAAGTGCATTTTTTAAACCAGTTAACTTAAAAGTGTCCTGATTACCTTTCAGTTATAAAGAAACAAAAATAGATATTGAGCTTAATAACATGGCTATCAATGTCGTGTTTCTTCTTCAGGTGAACGGACAAATTAGTTGTTTCCCGAGTATTTTAACTCAAACTGGCACCTGTTGATACGACATGAGTTCTGTCTGTTGAGTCGTCCTTCTGTAGGAATCTAAAATATTTCCACAGCGTTGATTAGAGCGCAGCCGCGCACGGAAACGGTGCAGCCGCGCACGGAAACGGTGACACAGACGTGGCTTGGGAATTTCAAAATAAAAGCGTATTTTAAAGACGACGATACAAATCGATGTTTTAGTTTTGCCACGATATAATTTAATCATTAATCATTTAATCAATATAGCGATTTAAATCAATGTATTGTTACGCCCCTAATAAATACATTAATGTTCTGTCACATATTTGAATTGGCAGACAATAATTTCGCAGTGAAATGGAAATGCTGCTCTCTGACACTTCCTGGAGAGTTAGAGACAACAAAAAATAAATTTAAATGAACTAAAATGATACAGTTAGGTCAAAGAATTGATCTTTTTGTAGTATTCGTTCTTATGCAGCAGCAGGAGAAACGTCTGCATGGCTCAGCTGCAGTGGCTGAAGTCAGAGACAGACTGCAGAGAGTGCAGCTGAACTGAGATGAACATGGAGCGATGAGTAAACGACTAAAGAACCAAATTAAAGATCTGAGGTTTGGACGTTTCAAACGTCCACATTTCTTGATTTTTCTGAAGACACTGTGTCCTTAGTTCATCCATATTTAGCTAATTTTGTTTATCTGGAGAAAAGTCAAGTCTAAAAAATATCAGAAACAGTGAACCTAAAAGTGAGATTTTCCGTGCATGAGGTGTCAGACTCCGTAGTCTGTCCTCCTGAACGTGTCTCTGTCTCCCAGCTTCTGTTGTCCCTCAGTTCAGAGCCTTATGGGAAGCAGCTGTGAGATGGTGGGAGGAGACTTCCTGTTGATAAATCGGCTCTTACTAAAAATATAAGTGTAGCCTGAGGCATGCTTTTTTAATCTATTTATTCCCTGTTTTCAATTTAAAAACCCTAAAGTGGGTTTAGTTTATGCACACTGCTTCAGTGGTTTGATTATTTTTTTTTGCTTTGTAAATGTTTTCTGTGCTAATGGGAGAGAGGAATGTAAAGTCACCGTTTGTTGTATCACCGTGCAGCTCAAAGTACTTTTGTACCTTTGTCAAACTGGACCTTTGCAGCTTTGGTCAGCACGTACCCGCTCTGTCTGGGTACAAAAGGAAGCCGTGTGCTACGGTCTCTTCACACTCACCTCAGCCACTTTATATGTTTAATTTGTACTCACTTCAGCCTGTTGTGTACCCACCTCAGCTGCCAAATTGTTCATGATGTAATCTACAAAAGTGCACTTTTAAAATTAAGATAAACAGATGTGGACCTGTTGTATCATTATTAGCATTATTAGCATTAGCCTGGTCACTCCAGCCCGGGGTCTTACGAAAGAATAAAATTTAAAGTAAAGCTCTATTCAAGCCACATATTAAGCTCCTACAATATTATGACAATTTAATGTTTGCCTAAAAACACAAGGTTGTGTTTTTTTTTCTGTTTTTCATACAAGCAGCATCTGTTGGTGATCTTTGGAGCTGAATGGGATTCTTACTCAGCTGTCTGCAAAAAAAAAATAGGAATAATAAAAAGAAAACCTAATATCACCATAGTTTGAAACTTTTATGTATCGCTTGGCACATGTTTACTGAGCCTCCGGCAGAGATGATTAATTGAACTGTTTCTAACAAGTGGTTGTTTAAAACAGGACAAAGTACTTGAGGCAGATTGTTAATATACTGGAGTGTATAAAAACACAAGAATTGCAACTCTGTGCATTTAGTCTGTAATTATAATCATAGACTGAAGCAAAGGACAGTGCATTAAAAAGGACATTAGGAGATGTCTGGCTTGGTAAACAGAGCAGATAATGAGGACATTTAAAAGTTTATGACCCTCACTGATGTTGGACTCACATGAGACAAACTCAGCGGCTGCATTTAGGAGATGTGGCCACTTTCTGAAGATCCAAACAGCTGGGATGGACGAGTCACAGAAAATAAAACTTTCAAACAGGATCCTCCTACAGACAGAACAGAAGATTCAAACCAGTGACTTGAGTTTGATTTTTACTAACTTTACTCCCATAAAACTGTTCGTTTTCAGACAAATACACAGATAAAATACAGGAAACTGGCTGTAAAGGAAAGTAGCTTGTATTAGGTTGACCTTTGGTGTCAGAGCTGATTAATGGTCCCTTACAGCTTCTTTCCTGATCCTCTTTTTAGAAACAGGAAGACCTTGACTTGACTTTACGGTAAACAGACACGAGGCTGCACAAACACACACTACTCACAACCCTGCTTTGTGTTTTCAGGCTGCGCAGCGAGAAATGGATGGACGTCCAGGTAGGAGACATCATCAAGCTGGAGAACAACCAGTTTGTCACAGTGAGTACCAGTTTCAAACACCTTGTTGGTGTTTTGTTGCCATTTTAGCTCCTTACTTTTTGATTACAACCTTTCATTGCATCAGTCTTCTTCAAAACAAAGTTGGTTTTGATAAGTTTTTATTTATTCTTGAACTTGTTGTTAATGATTTTTGTGTTTTTCTACACTTTGTATTGATAGGAATTAATCGTTTATTAATGAATTCATCATGTTAATGTTTAAGTGGTATTTGAAATGCTAAATGTTTTGTCTGCTTGTTTAAGACTCTGAAAATTGGAGTAAAATATTGTTTTATTTTGTACAATTTCCAATGTTTAATTTATTTTCTTTAAAAAGAAGAAAACCTAAGTCTTTACCAAAGAACTATATCCTCTAAAAGTTTGTTTTTACCATTGAATGTTGGTTACTGCCTTTTATTGACTGATAACACTGTTGAAGTTTTATATTTAAAGCTTCTGCTTTTCTATTTGTATTTTTATTAGTTTGCTGATAAAAAGTTCCTTTACACTGTGAACTGGTTTCTTCAGCTTGGACCAGTGAACCCAGTGAACATGATATTTTACAGTTTGTAAGCGCTGCATTAAATGTTTTTGTGATTTCAGGCCGACCTTATGCTGCTCTCCAGCAGCGAACCGCTCAACCTCGTGTACATCGAAACAGCAGAGTTGGACGGGTTAGTAAAATTAAAAACTAAACTTTGTAATGTGTTTTAATACAACAGTTGTTTACTGTGGCTCATTTTACACTTTTCCATGAAGAGGAATTAGTTTAATAATAATCATAAATCAGCACCACCCGCAGGTTTGGATAACTGGACACATGTATTGTAATCCACGCAACATTTTGTTCCTGATCAGGTTTAAAACAATAAAACGTATTAATAGTTTTTGTACATTTTCACCCCAGCTTCTAAAAGGTGACTAAAAGTTGTAACACGCATGGATTGGGTTTTGTTTAGAGCTGGTCGGTTACTGACTCACTCGAGTTAATGATCCAAATCAGGACTCATGAGTCTGAGGTCTTCATTAACCTGGATCCGACATGCCCTCTGGCAGACAGACACCGAATCTGAATAAAAACAAGTAAAACAGCCGAATCCTTGGAAATGCAGCAATCTCAAAAGAGTCGTATTTACATGTTTACATACATGACATACATTTAACATGTCATTTGTAAGTCTGCTTATTGGTGTGAGAAACTATAAACTCAAAATCTCTGAGTGACGTAAGTGTGGACACTCAACATCCACTGCCACAGTGGAGCTGGGGGTTGTTGCAGTGCGACCACCTCAAGTGAACCGGATCATAATAGTGAGACACTCGGATTAACTCGAGTCAATAAAGTGGATTTAATTTACCACCTGTGGTCACGTTGGTGCAAAACACCAGCGTGCATGTTGATGATGATGATGATGTTGGTCACGCCCTCAGCTCCTTACAGAGTCAAACCTTCACTCAAGCTGCAGCTTTCATCCTTCAGAATCCTCCAATTGCTTAAGGTGCAGGGAGTCCCACAGGCACTGCAAAAACCCTCTAGAACCCGGTGGCAGAGGAAGCCAGTGGCCCCCCGCTCCAACCAACTGCCACCCACCCCCACTCAGGTGGTGAGGAGGAGAAAACAGCTGGCCTGACAGCCTGCGTGGATGGAGGGAACTCCATTCATCACAAACTGGTTATTCTTAGCAGCAAACAGTTCCAGTCTCTGAGGACCGCTCATGTTCCTGGAGTGCTGAACTGTGGAGCAGATCTTCTCTCCAGGAGGAACCCTCTGTATGTAGAGTGGAAACTCCATCCAGAGGTGGTCAGGCTGGTCTAGCAAAGGTTTGGACAACCATCTGTGGATCTGTTTGCCTCACTGGAGAGCAATCAGTGTCCCCTGTTGTTCTCCCTGCACGATCAGAGTGCACCTCTGGGGGTGGATGCACTCGCCCACAAGTGGCTTCAGGACATACTTTATGCATTTCCTTCCAAAGCTCTAATTTCACCAACACTGTCCAGGGTACGGTCAGAGGGCCTGTCGATGGTGCTCATTGCATCTCATTGGCCATCAAAGCACTGGTTAGTGGAGATAACATCCATCCATCCTCTGGGAGGAGCTGTGACCTCTGCCTGCACACAAGGACCTGCTGTCTCAGGCACAGGGACACATTTTTCACCCCCACCCAGAAAGACTGGCTCTGGGTTTGGCTCATGAGTAGTTCAATCTGTAGGTCTCCCACAGTGTGATTGAGACTGTACTGTTTTTTTCAAACGCTGTTCATTTATACCTTAGGGCCACCGTACCATACAGAATGAGAGGGCACATGCATCAAGATCTCTATACGGGTGTTAAAGGTCCATTTACTAGAAATGGCGTTCTGACGTTCAAGAGATTCTTTTTCAGTGTTCTGTGATCTGGGTTTTCTTACAGAACCTGATTGATAAGGGAAAAGCTTTTTCCACTATCAAAGTTTTTTTGGTGGCAATTTCAACCTGCCATACAGGCTTTGAGGGACAAACAGCAGGCCAGCGTTCTGTGGTAGGGTAGTTTATGAAGGGGGTCGCAGAAAACTCCCCGTCTCAAAACCTATGACTCCTTCATGGGTTTTACCCCCTAGAGCTGGAGGCTCTTACCGCTTCACCCTTTGAGCCTCTGGATCAGGTGGAATTAAAGTTAGTAGCACTAAAAACAGCACTTTTGCTGGTTTTCGTCTCTACTAAACGTGTAGGTGAAATTCATGCTTTATCAGTTCAGTAGTCCCTCATTTATCGCAGGGGATCCGTACCCTGAAGCCCCGTGACAAGTGAAAAACCGCGAAGTAGGAATAGTAGTTCAAGTAGTAGTTTATTTTAGTATTCCATTTTAAACCCTTGCAATATTCTAAACAATGTTTCTAAACTCTAAACGCTCTAAAAGAGCACATAATGTCATGATTTCAGCTCCCTGCCTTGGATGCTCTCGGCCACGCCCACTTCTCCGCGGCAGAGCATAGATCAGCTGATCAGCTGCAGCAGGAAGCTTTTTCTGCAGCTGTGGGCAGCAGGTGCAAAATAATTTAAAATAATTTATTTTAAATAAAAATCCCATGCCGATCGTGCGGCTCATCCATCAATCAGCCAGTTGTGTGTCATGTTCAGCCTTACTTAGATAAACCGCGATAGAGCGAGTCCATGAAAAACGAACCGTGAAGTAGCGAGGAACTACTGTACACCCATCTTGCACAAAGTTCTCACTGGACAAGACGACTTTGCAGTAACCTAAAGTTCTTTTGAATTGCCATCAGATTTAAGTGTTTTGTTTGTCTTTTTATGGAACTTCTAAGTGGAAAACACATTTTAGAAATCGGTTATTGCCTCTGAACAACAACACGTAGGCTTACACATGCATTCATTTTTTTCTTAGTGTTTAGTGTTAATAAGTTATGAATGCTTTTTGCTCATTTTGTAACCTTTGTGAGTGAATGACAATACATGCATTTACATATTGTCATAAATATTTCGTAAATTAATTTAATATACATTTGGTGTAATGACGAGACTAATTTCTCTGTAGTTTTATTCCATTAGCTTTTTTGTTCATCGTTTTTTTCTCACGTACCCCTCCTTCGCTTCACTTCTGTTTGTTTTGTCCTCTATTGTTCCTCAGAGAGACAAACCTGAAGGTGAGACAGGCCTTGACAGTGACAGGAGACCTGGGAGAGGATATAGAAAAACTGGCAGACTTTAACGGTAAGATCAGCCAATAAATCCATCCCACAGTCCCAGGAAAGAAAACCTCTTGGCTGCTGTATTTCTTATTCGGGGACAGTGTCAACAGACTTACTGAAGCTGACTCCATAGTGCAAAATGTAAATATATGCTATATTTCTGCAGTTTATTAAGCACAAACATCATGTTTTCTATCAAGGTGAGGTGCGCTGTGAAGCCCCCAACAACCGCCTCGACCGCTTCACGGGAACGCTGATCGTCGCCGGTCAGAAATACGCGCTCGACAACGAGAAAATCCTGCTGCGAGGCTGCACCCTGAGGAACACCGAGTGGTGCTTTGGGCTGGTGCTGTTCGCAGGTCAGGGAGACGGTGCACCGTCAAAATCATCCAAACTAAAATCTCCTGACATATTACTTAGTCTTTTTTTTTTTTTATTGTAGGTCAGGAAACTAAACTGATGCAAAACTGTGGGAAGAGCACGTTCAAGAGAACCAGTATAGACCGACTGATGAACGTCTTAGTCCTCTGTGTGGGTGCTTAGATCATTTCTTTTATTCTGCACAGTCATTTTGAAATGTTTCGATAATTAAACCACTTTTTTTTTCAATCTAATCACATAAATGTGGTTGTTACATTAGATCATATGTGTCAAACTCAAGGCCTGGGGGCCAAATGTGGCCCTCGTTGACATTTTATCTGGCCCCCAAGATGATATGTGAAACGTAAAATACTTCTATCTCTTGAATTTTTGCAGTAATCTTTGATTATGATACCAAAAGCACAACATAGAACATCAAATGATACCAATCAAACTCTTGCTGAGGAACCTGTGACCAAAAAAAGTTGTTGGGTATCTGATTTGAGTTAATGTAGCTTCTGATATTGGCCCTTAGTTTGAAAAAGGTTTTAATTTTGGCCCCCTTTCGTAAGTGAGTTTGACACCCCTGCATTAGATGAATTTGGATGATCAGTATAATTATAATTCTGCTCATGCACGACTGAAAATAATCTGTAATAAGCAACAATCTGCAGAAAGCATGCAGTTTTCAAGCAGACACCTTGACGCCGAGCCGTAAAATCATTAATCTTTGTTCTCTCCCTGCAGATTTTTGGTTTTCTCGTCTGCATGTGCACAGTCCTGGCGATCGGGAACTACATCTGGGAGATAAACAACGGCTCAAACTTCACCGTCTTCCTGCCGAGGGAGGATGGAAACAATTCTGGTTTCTCTGCCTTCCTCACCTTCTGGTCCTACGTCATCATCCTCAACACTGTGGTGCCCATTTCTCTTTATGTTAGGTAACGTAACATCTACACCTTGACTTTTAATTTCAGATTTCAAGTTTTTAAAAAAGCATGTTGTATACTGGATTGGCAGTGTGGAGATTATTCGTCTGGGGAACAGCTTCTACATCGACTGGGACAGGAAGATGTATCATTCTCACAGCGACACGCCTGCGGAGGCTCGGACCACCACGCTGAACGAGGAGCTCGGACAGATCAAGTACGTCTTCAGCGACAAAACGGGAACGCTCACCCAGAACATCATGATCTTCAACAAGTGCTCCATCAACGGCAAATCCTACGGTAAAGTTAAAAAAGGTCCTTCGTTTTTAGGTCTTAGTTATTTCCACGTTTTGTAAATGTTTCAAGTTTAGTTTTTCCAGCGTAAATGTGTGTATTTATTGTGTAGTTATTCCTACTTGTCTCTGCAGGAGATGTGTACGACTACACGGGACAGAGACTTGACATCTCTGAGGTGAGTCGATGGAAATAAAATCTGTCCGTCTGTGGGGCTGTTAGCTGTAGTAATATTTATCTAAAATATATCTGTCTCCTACTGTTGGTGATTAATCTTCTGGAATCAGACCTGAATCCAGTCAACCTAATGGGCTGGTTTGTCTGATTTCGTCTCAGGAAAAAATGAAACCAGTGAGTCCAGCAGCAGAACCAGTCAGGGTCGAGGTCAGGACTTTACAGAAAAGTAAAATATTAGTCTTTTTCATAATATTTGTTTTTTAAATTACAA